GGTTCAAAGCCAGCCTGGGCAGGAAAGTCCGTAAGACTCTTCTCTCCAATAAATCACTAGAAAACTGGAAGTGGCACTGTGGCTCAAGTGGTAGAGCGCTCGCCTTGAGCTTAAAGAGTGTGAAGACAGCACCCAAGCCCAGAGTTCAAGCCCTACAACCGACCAAAAAAAAAAAAAAACAAACAAAGAATACAAACCTGCAGTGAAGAATTGGCCCTGTGTTGTGATAGAAATTGAACCAAAACACATTGTTAACATAGTCTGAACTCACAGGGGAATGCTATGCTTCTGTCTTGGCCTTTATTCTAGCTGCAGATAAGCTATGAATGTAAGGCTTTTTGTTGTTGTTGGTCAGGGAGCCTGAACTCAGGGCCTGGGCGCTATCCCTCAGCATTTCAGCAAAAGGCTAGTGCTCTACCACTTGAGCCACAATGCCACTTCCAGCTTTTTCTACTTATGTGGTACTGAGGAATCAAACTCAGGGCCTCATACATGCAAGGCAAGCACTCTACCACTGAGCTACCTTCCCAGTCCCAAATGTAAGGCCTTTTCTTTTTTTTTTGGGTCCGGTCATGGGGCCTGAACTCTGGGCCTGGGCGCTGTCCCTCAGCTCTTCAGCTCAAGGCTAGCGCTCTACCACTTGAGCCACAACGCCACTTCCGGCTTTTTTCTTTTTGCTTATGTGGTGCTGAGGAATCGAACCCAGGGCCTCATGCATGCGAGGCAAGCGCTCTACCACTGAGCCACCTTCCCGGCCCTGTAAGGCCTTTTCTTAACAACTTTTTCTCTTCTGGGCTGTCCTACTACTCCCCTAAAATTCCTTCTCGTTTTTTTTTCCCCTAGACTAAGGCCCAGGAGTTTTGAGGAAAGAGGCAGGAATCAGAAGTTAATGATGGCCAGGCACTGATGGCTCACACCTGTAATCCTAGCTACTCAGGAGCTGAGAGCTGAGGATTGTGATTTGAAGTCAGTTTGGGCAGATAAATCTGAGAGACTCTTATTTCCAATTAATTACCAAAAATCTGGAGGTGGGGGTGTGGCTAAAGTAGTAGAGTACCAGTCTTGAGCAAAAAAGCCAAGAGAGAGCCAGAGTTCAAGCCCCAGTACCAACACACACACACACACACAAGATGATGAAGGAAGCATTTTGGTGACATTGGTTCTATTGGTCTACTTTTCTAGACAGAAATGGTCTGTAGGGTCTGAAATTCCACTTCTGCACTTGGATTTACGCTAAAAAGCCTCATGTCTTAGCTCTCTTGGATAAAGGCTCTTGCATTTCTCTTCATGCTTTTTCCACAACAGAAATCAGTATCATGGTTGTCCATGAACACTCTTCTCCCTACTGGAGCTAAAAAGGGCCATATTATCAACAGCCATGAATCTTATTTGGTTTCAAAGAGATACAGAGATGCTGCCTGCTTTCAAAGAGATACAGAGATGCTGCCTGCTTGCACCTGTCCACAGGGAGACTGTCCCATCAGCTAGGGAACCTCTAGATTCAAATCTACTGAACACCTGATAATATCATGGCCCCTCATTCTACTTTTTCTTCTTCCCACAAGGGAGAAGTCCAATTCAGTCACTAGATAAGCCCATCTGGTTATCGGAAACCAAGAAAACAAAATGCATCATACTGGGTTGCAGGCCTTACTCTAGCTCTTGCTGAATTATTAAGGGATGGCATTAACTTATAAATGAGTATGTTTGACTGATTTTGTGGTTGATGTACAGATAAATTCTAATGAAAGACAGCTACAAGATTTTAAATTATTAATTAGACTGCCACTTAACAAAGCCTATTTGGCACTCTATTTCCTTGCTTAACAAGACAAAAACTTTAAGGAAAGGTTCTGTATTAGCCCAGAGGCTCTTGATTTGCATTCTGTTTTTATAGCTCTAAAAATGAAAACCATAGATCCTAACCTTAAGCAGGTTGCTCTGGCAAAGCAAAGCCCCCAGCAGGCTGCCCTTCCTTCCTGGATGTTGCTGGATGGCTCCAGGCCTTGCTTGCCCTGCCTGCCTCTCATCTCTCTCAACTAGAGGCTTGCTTTTTATATCCCTGATTCTGCCAGGGCATGCCAGGAGATGGAAGAGCAAGTAGAGCAGCTGCTGAAGCCTACAGCTACCAGCGCTGTCAGCAGCTAGATCCCACCAGGGCTCTTCCGGTCACAGAGGTAGGGCTGTGGCCAGTAAAGTCCATTCATTAAGAGAGGCAAAGACAGTACCCTCAACTACCCCTGAAACAGCCTTCCAGGTGGCATGTTTCATAGGACAATCAGAAAGAGCTAGGGACTGGCCACTCATGTCTGTAATCTTAGCTACTAAGGAGGTTGAGATCTGAAGATTGATGTTTGAAGCCAGCTGGGGCAGGAAAGCCTGAGAGACTTTTATCTCCAATTAACCACCCAAAAGCCAGAAGTGGTTCTAGAGATAGACAACTTTCATGGTCCAAAACCTATTCCTCCCCATACTCTCAGGATCTAGGGAGGGCTATGTGTTCTTCATCCTTCAAATCCTTTTTCAAATCAAACTATTACACTCACTCAGGCCATGGACCCCATGTAGGGCTTTGCATCCGGTAGGCAACAACTATACCAACCTATGTTCTGCAACAGTGTGGTTAGGAGCCTTTGGAAACAATTCCAGAAACAAACTTCAATGGCCAGCTCTCTTGGCATTAGCCTGAGGCATGCTTTCAGCTTTGGGCACATACCTGAGAATCCCCACAGATAATCTGGGCGTACTCTACATGTGTGCAGAAGGGATAAATCCAAAGGATCAGATCAGAGACTAAGAGGAAATTGCCCAGGAAAGGACCAAAACAAAAGTCATTTGCCCACACCAGGTCCCAGCAGCAAGCTCCAGGCCACCCAAGGCCAATGCTAGATAAGGCCTTCTCTACTCCATTTCCCCCAGGCTAATCCAGGTGCAAACATCTTTGCAGGTGGAACCTCTCCCACCAACCAGGCTGTGCAAGGAAGGGAAAAACAGCAAACACACGTGACTGCCAAGCCTCCAGTGGCTACCTCTAGAGCAAGAATAAGGAGCCTCCCCGCCCCAGGGAGCAGCCCCCAGAATGCATTGGGTTACTCTTGAGCTGGGCCTCTGGCTAGAAAGGGTAACCAAGAGAGACTGCTGGAGCCTCCCTGGGTACCTAAACCACATGAAGAAAGTGTGTGGGCTGCTTCGTGGCTCGTTTTTAACTGTACACTGCCAAAAGACAAAAGACCAAAAGGGAAATAAGATGTCAGTTATTCCCTATTATCTCTATCACAGACCTGCAGCCCAGACATGGCGGCCTCTTAAAACTGCCTAGAAAGCCTTCCCCACTTGGCCAAGTTTGCATACTCGAGGCCCAAGCTTCTCAGCCTTGGGCCTGTTCTCAGGCGTAAAAAGCACTATCTGGGTGCAGACAATCTGGCCAGTACAGATAGGCTGCTGAAAGGATTTTCTGTGCCTTTCTGCAGGGAAAGGAACTGGGGTGTAACAGTGAAACGGTTTCTCCAACTAGCCATAGAGACTTTTTTCCACACCACACTGAAATGCAGCCAGTCTCCCCCGCACCCTTGTTCCGCACCAACCCACGTGGAGGGCACAAGTCACACACAAGTTTGTGACTATCCCTGTACAATTAAGCAACCAACCGGTTGGCCCAAAGCCGGCCCATCACTCAGTCTTTCCTGCCCCCATAAAAGGCGTGATGATTTTTTTTTCACCCACCTGTCTGACCTGCTTATCTGTCTCCTCCATCATCCCAAATCTGCTTCTCTCCGCCCATCACCGGGCTTCACTTCTCCCTACCTTCACCACCTCCCCCTGCCCGTTTTCTCCTTCCCCATCCCGCTGTGAGGTCAGAATCCGGTGCTTACGACACCTCGGCCTGTTGCCATGGAAACAGGGGCGGATTAAGGCTGGAGCACGGAGCGTAGGGATCAGGCCCCTCCGCTACCTGAGCTCCCGCCTCAACGAGCTCCCGCAGGGCCGGAGCCGACAGCCGCCAGGCGCTGCGCCTCGCGCCCCCCTCCCCGCCCAGGCCCGGTACTGGGGCGGGGAGGGGGGGGTCCCCAGCTAGGCGCCACAGCCCCGCTGGGACGTGGCGAGGGGGAGAAGCGAACGTAGAGACTAGAGCTACGGGTAGCGAGTCCCCGGGCTCACGGCGTGGTTACCTGCCCTCCTGGAGCCCGAGGGACCGCACCCCGCGCGGCAACCACGTGGGGGCGCGGCAGGACTTCCCCGGCTCCCGCAGTAACTTTGCCGCGCGCAGTCTCAGGCGGGGCTGCCGGGGAGTCCAGGCAAGGTGGTTGCGGAACCAGCGCTTCTCAAGTTGAGCCTGGCTCGGGCCGCGCACCCTGCCGGCGCGGCACGGCTTTCGTCTCCGCGTCCTCGCGATCCAAGCCTTGGGAAAGTTTGAGGAACCGGACTAGAGGCGCTTGCCACTCCCCGCCCTCAGTGGACATTCTCCAAGAGCTCGTCCCTGGGGATCGACCAGGGCTGCTGGGAAGGTGCCCGCGTCCCGGCCGCGCATGGCGAGCCCCAGGGCACGCGGTGAGCGCGGGGGGCTGCGCGGCGACTGACCGCCGGCTGTACTGGAGCTCGGGCTGGACCTGGCCCCACCAAGCGGCAGAAGCTGGGGCGGGTGCCCGCGCAGGACATGCATGGAGCCTGCAAGTGCAAAACTTTATATTGGCAAAGCAAAGGTCCCAAGAGGCCAGCTCCCCTTTTACACAGGCCGCTCACTCTGGTCTCAGACCGACCCTCTGAGCTCGATCCCCAGGCCTGGCTCTCGATTCACGGAGCAAAGCCCGCGTTCTTGCCGCAGGCCACCGATGGGGAAAGAGCTCCAGCAGCAGCCCCTGGGCGGGCGCGACAGACAAAGCCAGCCAGCTCGTCGGGGGTTTTGCTTCCCCGCCCCGATCCTCGGTGCTGGACCGCTCCCGTGCTGCCGGCTCTGCCCCGTGCGCCTCCAACTCCAACTTGCCCCTGCCGTTCCACCTCACCTTTGCGAAGCATGTTGGCCGCGGGGCCGCCGCTCCGAGGTCGGCCTAGGTGCGCTCCCTCCCGGGGTCCACGTTCAAATCCCCGGGCGCCAGCTGCAGCTAATCCGAGTGCTCCGAGGCGGGGGCAAGCCGGGGATCCGCTTATGCCCGGCGGCCCGGCCCCGCTGGGGCATGGTGAGCCCAAACCCCTCGCGCCGAGGGTACCGGCGCCCGCCAGCAACCGCGGCACTGCCAACCAACCCCGTGCGCTCTCCCAGCCCCCGGGGGCGAGCGGCTGGCTCCGCGGAGCCGGCGGCCTGCTTCTGCCGCCCCGAGCACTTTGCAGGCGGTTTTGAGGGAGGACACCGCCCCCCTCCCCCAGCCCGGCCGGCCGGCCGCGGCCCCCTCCTCGCCGCCCCCTCGGGCAGCCGCCGCCGCGGCTGCTGCAAAAGGGCGCTCGAACGCACAGCCGAGCTCCGGGGAAAGCGCCCGGCGCGCGTTTGCAGGACCGAGCGATCGGCGGAGCGGGGCGCCTCCCTTCCTCTCCCCCGGCTTCCCCCACCTCTTCTCCTCCTCCCTCCCTCCCTCGCTCGCTCGCTCGCTCCCTCCCTCCCGCTCCGCTCCCCGCCCCCGCTCACGGAGCGCCTCCCATACAAAATTTATGAAAGTGCTCTCAGCTCGCGGTGCCGAGCGCCGTCCTATTCCCAGGGCAGCGGCGCTCAGCCGTGCGGCGCCGCCTCCCAAGGTGTTTTCGCGGTGTCCGCCCCCGGGGACCATCCTCCGTCCACGTCCGTCCCAAGTACCTGTCCCAGCCCCTAGGCGGGTCGTCGGGCTACCCCCAAATGCCCTCCCCAGCCCCGCAGGCTTCTTGGAGCCCGCACCCGCAGCCCAGCCCCCCTCCCGCTCGCCCTTCGTAGCTGGAGGTCATCGGGAAAGGCGGCTGGAAGCGTGCGCCCCGAGTCCGCTACCCAGAGTCCGGGATCACAAGTCCGCACCACCCGCCCCTCTCCTTCCTGGCCAGCGCCCCTTCCTCCTCCAAGGCTCGACGGCTCTTCCCTTCCCAGAACAGCGGGGGAGAACCATCCGTCCTCCATCCTGCGTCCCAGGACATAGTTCGGGGCGGGGGACGGGAGGGGGGGACGAGGACGAGGTGGAGGGCGCGGGTTGGGGAGAGGCACAAAGCAGCAAGCACTTGGGGAAGTCCGGTTGCAAATCCCGTAGGAAGGACCCAGTAAAGGTTGGGATGGGTGATCTCCGCCTGGAGTCGGGGGAGGGGAAGGGTTGGGGGGCTCTGATCTCCCTCGGTCCTCACAGACCCCGCCCGCCCCGGGGATTCTCAAAAATGGAGGGACGTCGCTTAGCGAGCGGGTCCGAAGGGGCCCCACTGGGCCGACTGTGAGAGAAGCTCAAACCGTGCGAGATCCTGGGTGGAGGCCAGCACCCCCTACTGGACTGGTATAAGACAATGTTTGAGGTAGGAAAAGAGGCAATCAACTCATTCGTTCAACACACATTTTATTGAAGGCTTAGCATGTGAGGCACTACTATTTGTGGAAATTTAGCCAGTGAAAAAGACAGGTTTCTGTCCTCGGGGAGTAATAGAGTAGATGACAGCGGTGCTTGGAAGAAAACCAAGCAGGAACTGGTCACAGGTGGCTCATGGCTATAATACCAGCTACTCAGGAGGCTGAGATCTGAGAATGGAGGTTTGGAGCCGGCCTGGTCAGGAAAGCTTAGGAGACATATCTCCAGGAAATTAACAGAAAAGCCAGAAGTGGCCTGTGGCAGAGTACTAGCCTTGAGCACAAAAGCTCAGGGACAGTACTCAAGCCATGTGTTTAAGCCCCAAGAACAGCACTAAATAAGGAAAACCCAACAAAGCTGAGCCTTGTTGGGGAGCTGACATGAGGGGTCAGCATTCAGACTTCCATGATGAAAAGAACCATATGCCATTTTAGAATGGGACAGAGGTGTGGAAAGGTTCTGCTCCCTGTCTAAGGGGGTAAAGAGTAATTAGGAAATACAGAAGATGTGCCTTAAGAGCTTAGTTCTTGGTGGGGAGATATTCCAGGGAGGAGCAAATATGCAAATAACAAGAGGTGGGAAGTAATCTTGTTTAGATAATTACGCTAGGTCCTCTTGGAGTGACAACAAGATGCATTTGTTTAGCCTCCATCACGTGCAAATTGGCACTGACCCCACACTTGTGCCTGAGCCTGGCTGGACCAGATACCAGAGCTAAGCTCTAGAGCACTAAGAGCTGCAGAGGTCCTCTGTAGCTAAGGCCCAGAAAGGTTAGACTACTTTATTTCCTCAGTGTCACACAGTAGACCAGTGTTAAAGTATGATCTTGAATCAGTGAATCAGGATTTGAATACAATCCTCTTTTTTTTTTTTTGTCATGGGGCAAGCTCTGGGCCTGGGTGCTGTCCCTCAGCTCTTCAGCTCAAGGCTAGCACTCTACCACTTGAGCCATAGTGCCACTTCCAGTTCTCCGGTGGTTTATTAGAGGTAAGAGTCTTATTGACTTTCCTTGTCCAGGCTGGCTTTGAACTTCAATCATCAGATCTCAGCCTCCTGAGTAGGATTACAGCATGAGACACCAGCGCCCAGCTACAATCCTCTTTTAGCACCCTCTCAGGCTGCCTTCTGTGACCCTCTGCCCCACAAACTCCAGCATCTCAGGCTAAGTTGGGTGGAGTGATTGTGCCAAGTAGTTATTTCAGGCTTTGGAAAGGCTGGGTACTGACTTGGAGTCCAGCCAAGAGGTGAGGGTGGCTGTAGGCGGGTGTTGTGGTGCAATGTGGGGGGTGTACCGAACCCGCCTTCTTGTCAAACAGTAATTACTCAGACTTCTGAGTAACTCAGGAAGGGAGACCCCCATGGACAGATGGACGTATCCTCAGCCCAAGTTGAATGTCAGCATCTAACTGTCCGGCGCTGCAATGTTTGGGGTGCACTATAATATCTGTTCTTCCAGGCATCATTTGGTTTCCTAATAGGGGGCCAAGAATTGTTCATTTCAGGACAAAGGCATAAAAGAATGGGACCTTCATCATCATCTCTGACAACAGGCCCTAAGGGATGAAGCACCTGCTAGGAAGAAGTCACTGCTCTGCTTACAACAATATTTCTGACTTGGAATTCTAAAACCAGGCACTTGTGGCTCATGCCTATAATCCTAGCTATTCAGGAGGCTGAGCTCTGTGGACTGCAGTTCAAAGCCAACCAAGGCAGGAAAATCCACGTGATTCTTACTTTCAAATAACCACACACAAAGCTGGAAATGGAACTTTGGCTCAAGTGGTTAGCTCACAAGCCTTGAGCAAAAAAGCTCAGGGAAGCCAGGCACTGATGGCTCATGCCTATAATACTAGCTGCTCAGAAGGCTGAGGGCTGAGAGCTGAAGTTCATGGTTCAAAGCTAGCCTGGTAACAAAAGCTGTGAGACTTTCATCTCCTATTAACCACCATAAAATTGGAAGTAGAGCTGTGGTTCAATGTGGTAGAGCACTAGCCTTGAACAAAAAAAAAGCTAAGGGACAGTGCCTAGGCCCTGAGTTCAAGCCCCAGGACCAGCTCCAAAACAACAAAAAACATAATTGAAACTTTCCATTGGCTTGGTCGTATTGTGCTGAAGAGGCAGGGTTGTAGGGCTGGGGTTTAGCTCAGCAGAAGAGCGCCCATCTGGGGGGCACAAGGCCCTGAGTTTGGTCCTCAGCTCTGGGAAAAAAAAGCTATAAAAGACCCCCAAAAAACTACAAGGCAACTGAAGAGGCAGGGTTATGCTTTGAAATTCAGACCCTGTATCCTACTGAATCCAGAGAAACTTGGAGAAATGCAGCTTGGGGTGTGTGTGTGTGTGTGTGTGTGTGTGTGTGTGTGTGTGTGTTGGTACTGTGGCTTGAATGCTTCAAACTCTCACTGGCCTTTTTTCCCCCTGCTAATGGCTGGTGCTCTACCACTTGAGCCATGCACAGCTTCACTTCTAGGTTTTGTCATTAATTGGAGATAAAGGTCTCAGCCTCCTTGCCTGGGATGGCTTTGAACCATGACCCTCAGATCTCAGCCTCCTGAGTAACTAGGTTTACAGGCATGAGTCACTGGCACCTGGCTTTCTCTTTTTTTAAGACAGGCTCTTGCTATATAACCCAAATGGGCTTGAATTTATAGTCTTCCTTCCATAAAGGTGTGTGCCATCACCACACCTGGCCAGGATAGACTTACTGAGATGAAAAGGGTGTTTTTGGGGACCCATACTACCCATACTCTGATACTAGAGCTTGCCAGGGTCTGAGGGTAGAGCTCTGACCCCTTCTGCTCTCCCTGGCTGCCTGCTCCCAGCATGCTTAGCCATCCCTCCACTCAGGGCAGCCTCCCAGGTAAGCCCAGTCCCAGGCTGCTTGTTTTCACCCCTCCCAGTACCTTAATTAGGGGTTTCCAAGCAGGGAGGGCGGAGGGAGTGGGGAGTCTGAGGCCACAGAGCAACCTTAAAGGGCCAGCAATGCTCACTACAGCATGGCAGAGTGAGGAGGATGTGGGCTGGGCGAGCTAAACAGCCCTGGAGACCACTGCTCCTTGAGGCAGACTTTGAAGGAAAGTCTGCAGGCACTTTGCTCTTCTAAAGGTGAAGACAGTCTCACTGATTGCTCTACCTTCTCTGTATGGTCCCAGAGCTCTGATCGTTTATCAGGAGAACAACTTTCTAGCCCTGAGGGGTGGCAGGGTGGCCAAAGGATCTAAAAGGTTCAGGAAAAAGAATGCAAGGGCTGCCCCATTTCTCTCTGGAAATCACCTTCCCTCCTCCCAGGTTCAGATCTTCCCCTGTGCAGCAGTTTCTTGTGTATGAGCCTTCCAGAGTGGGCTCTAAAGGTGGTAAAGGACCCACTTGCTCCAGACTCCCAACTTGGAGCTGAGCTGGGAGACACTAAGTTGGCTAAGAGTCTCACAGACTTTCCTGCCACGGCTGGCTGGCTTTGAACCGCAATTCTCAGAGCTCAGCCACCGCAATTCTCAGAGCTCAGGCCACCCAGCATCCACTGACAGACTACTAGTTACCAGTTAGGAGTGAGGGTGGGAAACAACAGGAAGAGTTGGTGGGTTCCCCCCCCCCCGCACAGGCTTATCGGGAAGCACCGGTGTGAGTGTGTCAGACCTAGGAAGGAAACTGAGGACGAGGTCGGCGGTGTAGGAGCGCAACTGCAGTGCTCAGATTGGCCCTTAGCTGAGGTTCTAAGAGTCCGGGCTTTCCAGACTGAGGTGGAGCCCACGATAGCCCCGCCCCCGACTCCTCCTTTCGGGGCTCCGCCCAGCCAGAGTCTCCGCCTCCCTCGCTGGCTGCTCGGCGATCGATCGTGAGGGCTGCGCTCTCCGCGTTCTTCCAGTGCTGTCTGTGTGGCCCCCTCACGTGGGCTGGCGGGCCATGGCGGCGCCGGTGGTGTCCCCGGCAGCGGAGCCAGGCAGCCGAAACGGCCCTGGCAGAGGTGGGTGCTGCCACACTGCGGCCTCTAGACCTCGTCTCTGGGGGTGGGGCCCCCTTCCTGCCCCAGCCGTGGCGGCGCCTCCCTCCGCCCCGCCGGTCCCGCCGTGAACTCGCCCTGGGCCGCCGTCGCCGGCGCCCGCGGGGACGGACGGGGGCTTTTTGTTGTTGTTTTTTTTTCCCAGTCTGGCTTAGGGTGCAGTCGAGAGCTGTTCCACGAGCTTGCAGTCCTCCGATCGCCATCCTTCCCCGATGGACGGGGCTGGCCCGGAGCGGGAGGGAGGAGACGGCGGAGCAGCCTGTTAGGCCCGGAGCCGGAGTCTCTCCGCTGGGCTCAAAAGGAGTGTTTCCCGGGGGTGGGGGGTGGGGAGGTGCAAGGGACCATACGGGATCTCACGGGGGGGGGGAGGGAGGGAGGGGGAGGTATTGATGTAAACAGCAGATGACAGGTCTTGATAAAGGGAGAAAACGAGGACTGGCCCAGGGAACATACTGAGCTACCGAGCCCAGCACACACCCTGAGACTTGGGCTTGTCCCAAGTTCTGCAAGGAGCCCAGAGAAGGCATTTGAAACAACTGGCCAAAGGAAAAAAAAAAAATCCTAAGAGTGGCCGGGCGCTGGTGGTTTACACCGTGACCCCAGACACTCAGCAGTCTGAGGATGGTGGTTCAAAGCCAGCCTGGGACAGGAAAGACCATGAGACTCTTTATCTACTACTCTTACCTACTACTAGGAAAATGCCAGAAGTGGTGCTGTGGCTCAAATGGTTAAGAGTGCTAGCTTTGAGCAAAAGAAACTTAAAGGAGGGCTGGGAATGTGGCTTAGTAGTGGAGTGCTGACCCAGCATGCATGAAGCCTAGATTAGATTCCTCAGTACCACATGAACAGAAAAAGCCAAAAGTGGTGCTGTGGCTCAAGTGGTAGCTAGCCTTGAGCAAAAAAAGCTCAGGGACAGCGCCCAGGCCCTGAGTTCAAGTCCCAGGATCAGCACACATGTGTACACACACACACAGTCCTTAACAGTAATAACATCCAAATCTGGTCTCAGAGCCCTAGCCTACCAAGCTAGTTCTACACTGTACCCCTTCACCCACTGTACCCCTTCATCCCCTGCATATACAGAGTGAAGGCACAGATCTAGGAGCAACCCTCCTATCCTAGTGACCCTAAATAGAAGTTCTGATCTACAGTAGAAGCTCAATAATTATTAATTGAATAAATTAACTTCTTGCTTTATCTTATTCCTGAATTGACTCCTAGTTAGTTACACAGGGGCTAAGCTAATCTGTATTGTTTGTTTGTTTGTTTGCTGGTCCTGCAGCTTGGTTTTTTTTTTTTTGGGGGGGGTCCAGTTGTGGGGCCTGAACGCTAGGCCTGGGTGCTATCCCTCAGCTCTTCAGCTCACGGCTAGCACTCTACCATTTGAGTCAAAGTGCCACTTCCGGCTTTTTTCTTTTTGCTTATGTGGTGCTGAGGAATCGAACCCAGGGCCTCAGGCATGCAAGGCAAGCACTCTTATCACTGAGCCACCTTCCCAGCCCCTGGTCCTGCAGGTTGAACTCAGGGCCTGGGTGCTATCCCTGAGCCTCTTTGTGCTCAAGGCTAGCGCTCTAACACTTGAACCACAGTGCCACTTCCAGATTTCTTGAGTAGTTTATTGGAGATGAGTCAGGAACTTTTTTTTGCCAGGGCTGGCTTTAAATCGAGATTCTCAGAGTAGTAACTAGGATTATAGCCATGTAGCTCTAACATGTATTGTGAAACATAGGATAAATGAACCCAATCTCAGGACCACAGCCTTACTAAAGAACTATGGTAGCTGGACACTAGTGCCCACAACTGTAATCCTAGCTACTCAGGAGGCTGAGATCTGAGGGTCACGGTTCAAAGCCAGCCCAGGCAGAAACACCTGCAAGACTCTAATCAACAATAAAACACCAGAAGTGTGCTGTGGCTCAGGTGGTAGGGTGCTCACCTTGAGCTGAAGAGCTGAGGGACAGTGCCCAGGCCCAGAGTTCAAGCCCCACAATGGACCAAAAAAAAAAAAAAAACTATGGTAGAGTCAGGCATGGTGATGCATGTCTGTAAGGTTTAAGTAGGAGGATTGTGAGTTTGAAGCCAGGCTGGGCTGCATGATGAGACCCTGTCTCAAAACAAAACAGAGATGCGATATTTTCTTTATTCAAGAAGTTATTTGTATTCTCTATGCCATTAGACTGCTAATCCCTAAAGGCAAGATCGTTTTTCTGTCCTTACCTATATGTCCATAATCCTTACTAGAGTAGTCTTTCTGTCTTTCCTGTGGTGGGGATAGAGAGAAACCATGGGACTGGGAGCTTGCTAAATCAATTAAATATAGGTGCTTATATCCTTTTTAAATGGGAGTGAGAATAATGCAAGTGTTAAGCAGTGTGGGCCTACTCATAGAACTTGAGTTGTATGAGCTCTATACAACATGCTCTGCTTTGCCTCTCAGTGCCCTGGTGTCAAATCTACTCTTTTGTGGTAAGAGGTGAGCCATACTCCATTTATGGGCTTAAGTCTTTGAGTCCCAATAATCTCACTTCATGGATTTCTTCCTGGTTTATTATTCTTTTTCTACCTTCAAGATGAATACAAGGAGGGGGTGGTGGGAAGCTGGGACAACTTCCTTAGTGTCAGGAATCTGAACCTTATACTTGGAATTAACAGCTTATCTGCATCTAGTTGTAGTCTGGGTCAGAAAGTGAACTCTCCTTACATCTGTTCTAGGTCGGGCCCCTCGGGGCCGATTGGCCAATCAGATCCCCCCTGAGATCCTGAATAACTCTCAGCTGCAGGCAGCCATCCAAGCCCTACCTTCTAACTACAACTTTGAGATTCCCAAGACCATCTGGAGGATCCAGCAAGCCCAGGCCAAGAAGGGTGAGCCCTGAGCATATAAGGGGCAGGTGGAGAGGTTGCCTGAACCAGCCTCTTGTAGTCCTCAAGTCTGCTTCTGCCTAATGTCTTTTGCTTCTCTTGTCTCCACCCTGTGTTGCAGTGGCCTTGCAAATGCCTGAAGGGCTTCTCCTGTTTGCCTGCACCATTGTGGATATTTTGGAGAGGTGAGGTTTGGGCCACTAGAGAGGAAGCTGAGCCAAAAGGACCAACTCAAAACTTCCAGTTTGCTTAGTAACCTTCTTGTCCATGTCCCCACCCCTATAAAATTAGGGAAAAAAATTAAATGTCTATGCCTACAGCAAGTGGTAGGACCTAGGGAGGAACCTAAGAATACACAAAGCTAACCCTGAAGTGTGCTGAGGAGGGTCTGGCTAAGTAGCTAGGGGCACCTTTTTCTTAGGTACATTTAAGAGAGCTGAGCCAGGCTGGTAGGGGAGAGTGTGCCTCTGGGAAGATATTCAGTTCCCCTGCCCCCTCTCCTAAGTTTCTTCAGTACAATGAGCCATCCTTGGGGGGGGGGGTGAATGCTCAGCCATCTGGAACAAGCAGGGAGGGGGGAATGAAGAGAGGGGAGGTCATCTCGTGCTGAGAACCTCCCACCTCCCTGCTGCTGCCCTGCCCCCACTCTACTCCCCCTTCCTGCTGCCACAGACCCACTTCTCTGCTCCCACCCTCTTGCCCCTTGGGAATGCTCTCTGGGGCTCAGGCCAATTTGCATACATTTTAATCTATAAAAAATTAAGTGCTCTGGCTGACTCAGAGCCTGGGCTGCATTCTAAGGAGCTGAATAATCTGCTTCTGCACACAGCCTGATTTGGGGAAGGGGTGGAGGAGGGGACTGACTGGCAGCAGCTCAGCTTCCCCCACCATACCTCAAGTGAAGAATTTGATACCCCAGTTACTGAGCCAGATTGTGTCCCCCAGGTCTGAGTCTATTCCAGAGAAGAGCTTGACCTCCTGCTCCTTCCCTGTGGCAGGTCTAGAGGGGTCTTCCCCACTACCCAGTGATTCAAGCCTGGCAGCAAATCCCATGACAACGTGCTGGCCAGAGCCCATTCTTCCTGGCACATGAGGCATGTGGGTAGTGTCATGTGCTGTGGGGGAACTGAATATGAGTCCTCTCCCATCCTGGACCCCAGGGTCTTGACTATGGGTGGGAAGGTGTAAGGGGTCCTGGCAGGAAGGCGGCTGCGTCATGCAAGCCACAATGCCAGGTACACTTGGTGTGGGGACCTTTGTGTATGCATGGTCATAGCTCTAAGGTGGGATGAGTCAGGGGAGGAATCTGTTGGTGCCTAGGCATGTCCATCCAAGGGCCGGGGGGTCCCTCTTGTAGTCTGAACCTGGATAAGGAGTCAGGGTATTGCAGAGACATGCTCATGTAGCAACTGTTTCCGGAGCTGCTGCCAGAGCTGAGGAAAGTGGCAGCTGTGCCCCTCCTACTCTTGGTTGGCAGCTGCCAACCCAAGGAATTGGAAGAGGTGGAGAGTGAGGAGTTGAATCCTGACTTATCTTCACAGTTAGTACCATTTTCCACCTCATTCTTGGTAACACTGTCCCATTGTCTCCCCCCTTAGGTTCACAGAGGCTGAAGTGATGGTGATGGGCGATGTGACCTATGGGGCTTGCTGTGTAGATGACTTCACTGCAAGGGCCTTGGGGGCTGACTTCTTGGTGCACTACGGGCACAGCTGTCTGGGTATGGTGGGCCTGGACACCGGGACTCAGGCAGGAAGGCAGGCCGCACACTAATCTCCAAAGCAAGGCCTTGTCTCATGTACAGGCACAAGGTCTCTCCCGATAACTGGGATAGCACTGGCCTTCCTGCTTTGCAGGTAGATCTTTCCTTTGGATTTGGTTGTTTTGGAACCTGTGCTACTGTCCCAGATGCAGATGTTCAAAAGTCTGCTGGTGGTAGAGCAGGCTGAGTGAATAAGGAGTTCTAGCAGACCGTTGGCCCTCTACTTCCCATCCATCTCACTTCTGTCCTTGAGCCAAAGCCACTCATCTTGTTTGCTCAAAGACTGGGCCTGGGCCAGGTGCTGGTGGTTCATGCCTGTAATCCTAGCTACTCAGGAGGCTGAGATCTGAGGATGGTGGTTAAAAGCCAGCCCAGGCAGGAAACTCTGTGAGACTCTTGACTAAAGTAAACCACCAGAGAACCAGAAGTGGTGCTGTGGCTCAAGTGGTAGAGCGCTAGCCATGAGCTGAAGAGCACAGGCACAGCGCCTAGGCCCAGAGTTCAGGCCCCACCACCAACCAAAAAAAGAAGAAAAAGATTGGGCCTGGGTCATCCCTTGCCTTTTCCTGCTTCCCAAAATGGCTTTCTGAACTCTTCTGTCCCCACAGTTCCTATGGATACCTCAGTCCAAGACTTTCGGGTGCTGTATGTTTTTGTTGATATCCGGATAGACACAGCCCACCTCTTGGACTCCATCCGCCTTAACTTTCCTGCAGCTAGTGCCCTTGCTCTGGTCAGCACCATTCAGTTTGTGTCAACCTTGCAGGTAAGAGGATGAGGATTGTCTCAATATCGTGTGTGGCAGACAGAGGCTCCTTTCTAGGCTGTTTCTGGGTCTCCTTGTCAGATGCCCCTGTCTGTTCCTCTGGTTCTGGTTTCCTTTCCCAGCCACTTTGTTCCCTTCCTTCATTATCCCTACAGGCAGCTGCCCAGGAGCTGAAAGCTGAGTATCGTGTGAGTGTCCCACAATGTAAGCCCCTGTCTCCTGGAGAGATCCTAGGCTGCACATCCCCCCGACTCCCCAAGGAGGTGGAGGCCATTGTGTAAGTTAAAAATGGTGGCCACTTTTGCCAGGTGCTGATGGCTCACGCCTGTAATCCTACCTACTCAGGAGGCTGAGATCTGAGGGTTGCGGTTCAAACCAACCCAGGCAGAAAAAGAAAAGTCCCTTTTTTTTCTGGGCTAGTCTCTTTTTATTTTTTTTTGGTCGGTCATGGGGCTTGAACTCTGGGCCTGAACGCTGTGCTGAGCTCTTCAGCTCAAGGCTAGCGTTCTACTACTTGAGCCACTGTGCCACTTCTGGTTTTCTGAGTGGTTTATTGGAGATAAGAGTCTCATGGACTTTCCTGCCCGGCTGACTTTGAACTGCAATGCTCAGGTCTCAGCCTCCTGAGTATCTAGGATTACTGGCATGAGCCACTGGCGCCCCGCCTGGGCTAGTCTTAATATGCAGTCCTCTCAGCCAGTTGCTCATGTCTAAAATACTAGCTACTCAGGAGGCTGAAGATCTGAGGATCATGGTTCAAAGCCAGCCTGGAAAGGAAAGTCCATGAAATTCTTATCTCTAATAAACTACTCAGAAAAAGCAGAAGTAGTGCTGTGGCTCAAGTGGTAAAGCACTAGCTTTGAGCACAAAGAGGCTCAGGAACTGCACCCATCTCCAATTAACCACCAGAAAACTGGAAGTGGAGCTATGGCTCAAAGTGCTAGAGCGCTAGCCTTAAGCAAAAGAGCTCAGGGACAGTACCCAGGTGAGTTCAAGCCCCACAACTGACAAAAAAAAAAGTGGCCACATTGTAGAGACATGAGAAATGTCATTATCCTGTTCATTATATAGGAAAGGAAACTGAGTCTAAAGCTTCTAAGTTCTGTGTTCAAGGTCACCCTGCTAGGTAGGTACCAAATAGGAGCTAGATTTCAGGTTTACTTTCTTTCCAGTGTTCTGACCACCATCCATCTGGAAGGCTGTGTTCTAGGGTGGGAACAAGAATCAGAGGGGCTGATGTGGGGGAATGAGGGTGGCTAGAAATGGTGGGAATATAATTGGAGAAGATGGATGGGCACACCCAGGCTGCAGCCCCATTAATTTAGCATCCGGACAGCTAACAAGCAGGAGCAGCGTGTCTCCTGCCGCCTAATTATTTTAGGTAATGGAAATGCTTAATGTTGTGTGAATGCAGCCAGCCTCAGAGCCGACAGCTCCCCTGGCTGGGACTGGGAGGGAGCCTGGTTCCAAGCTAATGGCAAGGAAGAAGGATGGGCCTTCTTTGACTCAGCCCTACTGGTCCCCAGTTTTGTTGCACCTGCATTAGACAGAGCCCCATATCAAGGTCTTCCCTAGTTCAGACCTGCTCCCAGAAGGTCATTTCCTGTGCACCTGTGCCTGAACTGATAGGGAGATTCAAGGTGTGTGTTGCGGGAGGGACCTGAATGTTGGGCATTCCTCTCCAAAAGGGGGAGAAGCAGCTGCCTTGAGCTTTGACATCTTGAAAGATACTATTAGGGAGTCTCCTAAGGCATGGTACAGTCTGATACACTGTCACATATACACTGTTTAACTGCTTAACAGCTTTAAGCAGATGTTTTAGCATCTCTGAATCCATTATATCTTTAAAATAAGAATACTATAGGTGTCTTGGAGGATTAATTAGTACAACTGAGTTAATACAGGGACTTATTTCAGGACTGGAATTTAGAGCAAGTTTTTTGTTCTTTTGTTTTGTTTTATTTTTAAAGCAGCTGTTATAACTCAGACTGAGACCCAGAGCTGATTTGGGCAAATCATAGTCAATTTTTGGAATCCACATCTGTATTGAGTCTGGTGTGGAAGAACCTGCCCCCTAACTCCCAAGTTAGGTTCTCTAGAGCCTATTGGCCTGAATTCAGTCCCCTGGGCCTCTAAGCCAGAGTTCTGCTGCTGCTGCCCCACACCACACTGTCTTTTCCACCCCTGCAGGTATCTTGGAGATGGTCGTTTCCATCTGGAGTCTGTCATGATTGCCAACCCTAGTATTCCTGCTTACCGGTATGTGATGGTGACCAGTTGTGGAGGAATCAGAATCTTTTCCCCTGAAGCCTTCAATATGCTGACAGGTCCTCATTCCCTAGCCACTAAACAGCCCCTGGCTGTAATGGTCCGAGTCATTTGGGTCCTATATACGGGTATTAGATTCAATGCTTCTAGATTCCCACTGAGATCCTAAAACACTTCCTCTTGCCTGCTCTAGCTGTGGAATTGATCTTCCCAGTGAAAATCCCTGTTCTTGTCAGAGGCCTAATTCCCTAATTACCTGCTGGAAGCCAGTATCAGGGAACCCTGTATACAGCAGGAACCTGGAAAATGGCTGTCACTGACCTTGGCAACTTCTTTTCCAGGTATGACCCATACAGCAAAGTCCTGTCCAGGGAGCATTATGACCACCAGCGCATGCAGGCCACTCGCCAGGAAGCCATAGCCACTGCTCGCTCTGCTAAATCCTGGGGCCTTATTCTGAGTACTTTGGGCCGCCAGGGCAGTCCCAAGATCCTGGAGGTCAGAGGGCTTGGGATGGCCCAGGAGGAGGGGGCTGCCTGAAAAGCAGTTGGTAGGCCAAGGGATTTAGCTTTTGACTGCCTTCCTCTCCCAACAGCACCTAGAATCTCGGCTCCAAGCTTTAGGACTTCCCTTTGTGAGACTGCTGCTGTCCGAGATCTTCCCCAGCAAGCTCAGCCTACTTCCTGAGGTGGATGTGTAAGTTTCCTCACCTTACCTACCCAGCTTGACTTGAGGCTTCAAGTTGGGTCCTGCTCAGTACCAAGGTTGCAGTTGAGAATCACATACATAGTCATGAAATTTTAGTTTGACAAGCAGTTGCCCCAAGCAGGGTGCTACCCTAACAATGGGTCACATGCTTTGTCAGGCCTTGGGGGCTATGTCACAGTATTTCTGATGAAATGAATCTGAGGGTACCTGCTCTGTATACTAGGTTTTAAATGTGGTTCTGAAGATAGGGTAAAAAAATGTGCTACATGTCTTCTGAAAGTTCATAGAGGAGGAAACAGGGCAATGCAAGCAAGTGCTGTGAATAGCAGTAGGTGGCAGTTTTTACTTCAGTATTCAGAAATCCCATTAGTTAATGGGCTGCTCTGGAGAGGGGCCATTGGCACCTAGTCTTACCTGTGTCTCTTCCCAGGTGGGTGCAGGTAGCATGCCCACGACTCTCCATTGACTGGGGCACAGCCTTCCCCAAGCCACTGCTGACCCCCTATGAGGTAACACGAAGTTGTGAAAATTGGTGGGGAGTGGGCTTTGTACCTCCTGTCAAGGGAAGGCTCTAAGATGTGGTGGGTGTAGATGGGCAGTCTGATATGATCTTGAACCATTCATTCAATCATGGTCTTGAATCCCTCAGCCGAACCTCTTCCTTGCTTCTACTTTCTTCAGTCTGTGCCTGACGTTTTCTTCCTGCAGTATGGGGATAATATATGTTCTTCATAGGCCGTTGTTAGGATTCTATTCAATAATCTAGGCACAGATGATGTTCAGTGAGTTATTGTCCAGTTTTCCTCCCCTAGGCGGCTGTGGTTCTGAGGGACATCACCTGGCAGCAACCTTATCCCATGGACTTCTACGCCGGCAGCTCCTTGGGGCCGTGGACAGTGAACCACGGGCGAGATCGAACTCCCCAGGGCCCCCGCCAAACTGCTTTGGGGAAGGTAGTTGGGGGACTTGGAGGTGAGGCAGCCCGGGGAGCTCGGCTCAGCCGCCTTCCTGGCGAAGAGAGCCAAGGCCGCCGCCCTGCGGCCGCAAGGGGAAATGCACAAGAATGGAGGTAATCGCAAAAGCCATACCCTAAGTCTGCGATCTCGATCTCGGATGCAGGAGGGGACTACACGCCCGTCTCCAGTTCCGACTTGCACGGATTGCAGCTGCGGAGAGAAGGTAGCGCCCCTGGAGACCTGACACCTCTGAGCCCAGGTATCCGGGGCTCTGGCTCGCCCGCCCCTCCCTATTGTCTAGGGCTGTTCTCTCCCTCCCAGGCCCCGCCTCCAGCGTTGTGGCGGCGCTTTGCCCCGCCCTCGAGCATCCACTTCCGCTCGGGGAAGAGCTGCTTCCGGTGCCGGTGCCGCGCGCTGCCGTAGCATGGCCGCACCGCGGCCTCTGCGGGTTTTGTGCCTGGCGGGCTTCCGGCAGAGCGAACGGGGCTTCCGCGAGAAGACGGGAGCGCTGAGGAAGGCGCTGCGAGGCCGCGCTGAGCTCGTGTGCCTCAGCGGCCCGCACCCCCTTATCGACTCCGGTGAGACGACCTCTTCCCTCAGCACGCCTCAGGTTCCCGCCCTGCGGCCCCAGGGGCCCCTCTTCGCCCGCCTGTAGTTTGAAACTCCTCAGTCTCCCACCTCCCCTCTTCCCCAGCGCTACCTTTGTCGCCTCTGCCCGTTCCCTCTTGCCTTGATGCCATCCTCTCCTTCTGTAGGGCCCTGCATTCCGGAGGAGCAGCCTCGGGGCTGGTGGTTTTCCGAGCCGGAGGCGGACGTGTTCTTGGCCCTGGACGAGCCCACCGAGTGTAGGGGCCTCGAGGAAGCCCTGACGACAGTGGCCCGCGCCCTGAGTGAGCTGGGGCCGTTCGACGGACTTCTTGGCTTCAGCCAGGGAGCTGCATTGGTAGCCCATGTGTGCGCCCTGGGCCAGGCAGGCGATCCCCGCTTCCCTTTGCCGCGGTTTATTATCCTTGTTTCCGGTTTCTGTCCCCGAGGCCTCAAGGAACCCAGCCTGCAGAGTCCCTTGTCACTGCCTTCACTTCATGTTTTCGGGGACAGTGATCGCGTCATCCCTTCTCAGGAAAGTGTGCAGCTGGCTAGCCGATTCCCTGAAGCCATCACCCTCACCCACTCTGGTGGCCATTTCATTCCAGCAGCTGCATCCCAGCGCCAGGCCTACCTCAAGTTCTTGGACCAGTTTTTAGAAAGATGAACGGCTTTGTAGCCTTCGGGCGGCCCTCCCTCATGTTCTCCACATCCCTAGACCTCCCTGCTGTGCTGTCAATTCTGCACTTACGAGACTTTGGTTTGTTTTACTCGAATATGATGGTCTTAAGAGCTCTAGGTGAGAGGGGAAGCTGACATCACTATGACTGTCACACAATAAAGTGGTACAGGTTGTGAACATTCTTGTTACCCACAGAAAAACCCATTCTCGGCTGGTTTCTTCAGTTCTGGATCACTGAGAGTTGCAGGCTGGTCTCCCTCTGCTGTTTTCTCTGCTTTTTCCTCAAGTGGTCCAACTCCTCTGAACAATGATGTTGAATGGTGATGTGGTACCAAACCTTGTATAGAAGCTAAATACTGCACCAGAGTAAACCTGCCTCTTGCAAACTTGACCACATCTGCAGTGTTTCTGAGAATCGATAACCAAGGACTAAGTAGTCCTAATATTGCCCTTGGGTAGTCCCAAGGCACTTTAAGGACTATCTAGCTATTTTCCCTTCTTCTAATTTGGCTCTTTGTTTTCTAACTTTTTCCTTGCTTCTGTAAAATACAAAGGTTTATAAAAGCCTTGAACTCAGGAACTAAGCACTGTCCCTGAGCTTCTTTTGCTCAAGGCTAGCACTCTACTGCTTGCGCCATAGCACCACCTCCAGGTTTTACTGTTTATGTGGTACTGAGGAATTGAACCCAGGGCTTCATGCATGCTCAGCAAGCACTCTACCACTAAGCCACATTACCAGCCCAGCCCCCACAAAAGCTAACCAACCCTGTACTGCAGTATCAGAGATCTTAATAAGATCTGCACAGATACCCCACAATCCATTCTGAAAATCACATATCCCTTAAGAATTTGGGTAACTCACTATAGATAGAAGCTGTCTAGGATAATAACTGGAATCATGTGCCCTGAGATCCATTTTGCTGTTTTTTGTTTTTTCCTTCTGTTGTGGGGCTAGAATTCTGGGCGCTGTCCCTGAGCTCTTCAGCTCAAGGCAAGTGCTCTACCACTTGAGCTATAGTGCCACTTCAAGTTTTCTAGTGGTTAATTAGAGATGAGTCTCATGGACTTTCCTGCCAGGGCTGGCTTTGAACTGCAGTCCTCAGATCTCAGCCTCCTTAGTAGCTAGGGTTACAGGCATGAGCCACCAGCACCCAGCAATTTTACTAGTTTGTGTTGAACCAGATGGGAAGTTAGTTGGCCTTTGCCTTGCCTTTGTGTGTGTGTGTGCTGGTCCTGGAGCTTGAACTCATTTCCTGAGCGCTGTCCTTGGCTTTTTTGCTTATGGCCAGCCCTCTACCACTTGAGCCACAACTCCACTTCCAGCTTTTTGTGGGTAATTGGGAATAAGTCTCATAGGCTTCGCTGCCTCAGCTGGCAGGCTTTGAACTTCTGTCTTCAGATCTCAGCCTTGTGAGTAGCTAGGATTACAAGTATGAACCACTGGTGCCTAGCTGCCTTTTTTTGTTGTTGTTGTTGCTCCATTGACTGGAGGAAGAGACAGACGGAATTATAGATCTGTTGGATTGGACCCATTAGGATCCTGTCTTCTTTAAGGACTTATGTCCTCCTGGTAGTTATACTCTACCTTTAGCTAGATACTGGGAGACAAAAAAGACTACATACCAGCTTCTATTTGGGATTATTGTGAGAACTAAAAGAGAAAATTCCATGGGGCTGGGAAGGTGGCTCAGTGGTAGAGCGCTTGCCTTGCATGCCTGAGGCCCTTGGTTTGATTCCTCAGCACCACATAAGCAAAAAGAAAAAAG